TTATATTATATTAAAAACTGCAGCTCCTGTTCCATAAAGATGAAGAATGCCTTCAGTTGATTTCTAAGAATATAAGAAGATGGGTCAGACCAAATGACTCTTTCTTAGGGGAGTAAAGTATATATTAGTTGAATTCTTAGTTCTTGTCAATTTATGTTGTCTCACTCTGACAAGACACCTCAACAAGGAACACCTCCAGCTCATGTGAGAATCTTCTAATCCCTAAACATTCAGGAAACAAGAGAACAACCACTGTCATTTTGTGCAAGCTGCTTTATTTATGTTAACTTATTTTCTGCAATTTTGCTTAATTTTTACACTTTTTTCCTTCACTTATCCTGTCAAGAGGACTACAAAATACCCTGACGTCTTGCAGGTGAGAAAAATAAAATAAGTTCCTATTCTTACCTACAATAGGGGACAAATGGGCAATAAGTCTAGTCCAATATTCTGTCTCTGCAGTGACCAACCAGATATCTATAGTCGTATTCAGTTGTTATAAAAACTGAATCCTTGAACACACATATAGACAGGCTTCAAGTTCTACCCCTCTATTGTCATATTCATTCTGGTTTCAACAATAAGCCTGAAAGGAAAACACTTCTGCCAATGTGTAAGTGCTACGAACCAGCAAGCAACCTGTAAAAAGCTATGTTCTTCCTTGTATGTTGAATCTTGCCACAAGCAGGGCTGAAACTGGGCAGGACACAACAGTGGAGCAGGGCACGTCTATGTTCTCCTCTTTAAGCATGTTCATGGAATTAAAGATTTATACACAGTCCCCATTGAGCCATGAAACTCAGAGGGTTGCCTTGGGCTAGTCATTTTTCCTCAGATAGACCTACTTCAGAGAGTTGCTGTAAGGACAGAGCAGGAAGGAAGAATACCATGTGTATTATTTTGAAGGAAAGGTAGGATACAAATGTAATGGATAAAAATACAGAATAAATAAATAATATATTGTTATCTTGACATGCACTCTTATCATCCATCCTCTAATCTTTTACAGCTGTTCTGGTTGGAGGCCATCTTGCAGTAGCAAATGCCATAGTTTAATTATGCACTAAGTAAGGAATTGCTTCCTTTTCTCCATCAAAAGTAATTAGTACTGTCTTAACCTTATCCAGAGTAACTAATATTGTTTGTGGGGCAGAAGAAGCAATGGTGGGTAGAGCTGGGGCTTTTAATACACAATCATGCAATACATATACAGTACAGGCATTCTCTCTCTGTCTCTCTCTTTTGAGCCTCGTGGCACAGTGGTTAAACCGCTGCACTGCAGCCAAAACTGTGCTCACGACCTGGGGTTCAATCCCAGGTAGCCGGCTCAAGGTTGACTCAGCCTTCTATCCTTCCGAGGTCAGCAAAATGAGTACCCAACTTGCTGGGGGGCGGCGGCAATGTGTAGCCTGCATAATTAACTTGTAGACCACCCAGAGAGTGCTTTAAGTGCTATGGGGCGGTATATAAGCAGCATGCTTTGCTTTGCTTTGCTTTTTTCTCCCTCTTTCTCTCACATACAAACACCCAGGGGGGCATTCACTCAAACACAGAGTATGACAAGGTTGGGAACTAAATGAGAGGAGAACAAAGCCCTAAGCATCTGCCTCTTAGAAGGAGGAAGGCAGGTGCCTGCAGCAGGGCAGTGGCCCGTTTGCCCTGATACACCTGAAACAATGGCAGTAAATATTTTGTGGAGGTGGGTTTTTATGCTACACTAGATCCAGTCAAAAGCCCAAGGAGTCTTGCCAAATGGCTAAGGGCATCAAGTAACAGTTTTACTGACTATATCCAATATGAACAAGAGTGCAGGTTCTACCCAGCAGTAGATGTTTCCCCCCTTTTACAACTGGCATTAACGTCTCTTCAACCTGAACTCATATTTAGATTTTGATGATTTTTTTAAAAAAATCAAACAAACATTCCACCAAATTAATCATTCAAAACAGAGGATCAAACATCATCAAACAACCTCTGGTCAACATTCTAAGTCCTTATGCTTCCAAAACTGGGTTTTCAAACTGAAAGCAGGAGCTCTAGAGAGGCCTTTAGAGCCTCTGTTAATATTTTAGAGGCTCAACTCCAGAGATCCCACCATTAGTAGTAATGAAAAATGCATTAGTGCACTGCATCAGTAATTTCCAACTGCTAGTACCAGCAGATTAATACACTTGGTATGAATATTAATACACACGTTAGAATAAATATTAATACATAATACCATGCAGGTTTGAACACTAAAAAAGAGTGGATGGGAAGGAACAATAAACAACGGAATGATCCAGTGTTTACATTTGGAAAACAAGCACACACACACACATTCCATACAGGCTGCTTCATGTAACATCTTTTGTTTTCTTTTTCTGCATTTCAGTTTAATACCAGAATATATACAGTGTACTGGATGGGGACTGCATACATATGTGCCGGCCAGTGCAATTCAAATACACATAGTCACATGCATAATCTTCCTGTGCTCACCATCTGCTTGCATTTTTAAAAGGGATATATTATGAAAAATATGTCTGCTCATGTCACACATTGTGTCTGATACAGGTTTTACATTCATGTACGGCTGTGAGTTGGGAATGTAGGAAGCTCCTTTGTACAAGGTCAGGTTATTTGTTTCTCCAGGCAGTATTTTCTGCTCTGGGAGTCTCACATGGGTTTCTTTCCCTTGCCACATATCTGAAGTCCTTTGAACTGGAGGTGTCAGGCAATGAACCCTGGGAACTTATGAACACAACACAGGTGTCCTCTTACCGCAACATGGAAAAGTTATTCTTTGGTCTAGAACTCCCTTAATCCTGCAAACCAGCATGGCCAGTTTCACAATGGCTGTAGGATTCTGGGAGCTGTTGCCCCAAAAATGTAGCTTTTCTTAGCTTGTCTACCTTGAAGTGATGGCCCTGCTTCACTCAAAGTAAGAGCTAATTAATGATGTGATGAGAAACTGAATAACGGCACCTTGGTTGAAATCCACAAGGCTGCAGCAAGTCAGGTGACTTATCCTGGGTGAGGTATGAGGAGAGCATTTTAGTTACAATGAGACATCCACATAGTGGTGTCACATTTTCTCATAGGAAAGATGCAATAATTCAGACTTCAGATATTTCATGTGTGTGTGTTCTGTGCCATCAAATCAGAAACAATTTATGGTGACCCCAGCAGGGCTTTCAAGGTAAGTAAGATATTTAAGGAGTGGTTTTACCAGTTCCACTCACCTTGTGAGTTCCCAGTTAATATTAGGCTCCTGTATTCTTAGTGGGTTTTTCCAGCATGTGATTTATTTATTTATTTATTTATTTCCCAGTTAATATTAGGCTCCTAGTGGATTTTTCCAGCATGTAAGCAGTTCTAAGATGATTATTGTGGTCTAATGATGGCCAATAAGTGTCCTTAGGCAAATACTGCATGACATATATGTCTTCTCTCATCCCAGACAGACCCTAAGAAGACAGCCAGGTTGATTGAGCTGAATTCTCTTAAACCATCTCCAATGGGTTTGATTCCTTATGAGTCAAACACTGTTCCAATGTCCAAAAATGAGATAATGTATACTACTTTAAGCAATGACAGTTATTATAACAGCCCTCTGGGCCCTTGCCTGCATTCCTCAGAACAGTAACAGGAGAAAGGGCTAGTTTTTGGACATCTGGTTTAACTCTATTCTATTGCTCATAGCACTTTAAAAACAAAAAAACAAAACCTGAAAAACTGCCAGGAATTCAGGTCAAATAAGTCGCAACTCAGGTTGTAACATGAGGGCTCCCAGTTGTATGTTGGCTTACATGCTGGAAAATCCCACTGGACACTAAGAATATAGGAGCCTAATGCTAACTGTGAATTTTGCCTTCATCTTTTCATTGTGCCCAGTATTAGGCCTGTGGCATGGGCCACTGCAAATGAATTAAAAGGCTTTCATCACTGTGCAGATGGAAGTTTCCCATAGCTAAAGCAGAATACCACAACTGAAGGCGTCATCGCTCTGCTAGAAGTTTCCCAAAGCTAAAGCAGAATACAGCCCTACCACAACTGAAGGCGTCATCGCTCTGCTTTGGAAATCATGAAAACCTGACTCACCGCAATCATCTGAGCCACATAACTTTCAGGACCAGTGTATTCTGTTGGGTCTTTCACTCTGACTAGAACTATGAAGTAGAGGTAGTGCCACATGTTGTGTTCTGACTTTATGTGCTCCTCAAATGAAACTGTCTTGTTGTCAAATTTGTCTCGTTCAAGTCCTGCAAAAGAAGAGACATTAAAATACTTCACTGGCTCCATCACTTTAGCCTTAGACTGCAATTCCATAAGCTCCATTAGCTCCATTGGTTAGGGATGATGAAATTATGATGGCACGGGGACCCACCCTTGCTTCAAATCTTGGCTCAAATTGAGTAGCCCCCATATATACCTTTGGGAGCTCATGGGGGCTCCCTTTTTCAGTTCATCAAGAAGGTCACATTCAATTAATGTAGTGCAAAAAAAAAATCCAGAAGGAAGGAACTATATCATTAACTAAGCAGTTTGCTTTTTATTTTGTCTCAAATGGGTTGCAGATTTTTTCCCCTTGAATTTGCTTTGTTGACCATAAGACCCCTTTTGCTAGACAATTTAGTTTTTACATGTTTTTTCTAAATATGTAATTCTGGAAACCAAGGTTACACATTGAGCCCATGCTGATTTTTGGTTTCATTTTTTTCAAGGAGAAAACAGAATGCATTTTTAAAAAAAATACATATAATATAATAGTAAAAAAATGTGACAGCCAAGAAATGAATTTGAAGGCAAGTTTATGTAGAAAATAATCCTGATAAACAAATGTTTTTAAAATAGAATCAGCGTCTTCATAGCAGAAGTTAGAGAACTTCTGTAGAAGTTACAGTTTGATTATTTGATTTTTTTGACAAGGAAGTAAAACAGTTTTCAGTATTTAATGTTCAGTCTTTGAATATTAAAGTTAACAGGTATAAAATAATCCAGTTTCACACATATTGACACTCTGAAAATCAGCACATACAGTCCTCTGCCTGGATCTATCCAGCAATATGCAAATATACACAAACAAATGACAGACCCTTCTTTTATAAGTAGAAATGATAGCAAAGGCAGAAGAAAACTAACTTAGCTTTCAAATTCCAAAGCTAGTGAACATCAAAGTTATCTTTCGACTTGTCATTCAAGTCAAACGGCAAATGAAAAACAGTTATAAATCACCTCTTCTTAAAAAAAAAAAGAGCTGTTAAAATGGCATTTCCACTTCTAATTTAATAACTCATGAACACATACCACAGATGAAACATGTTGTTTTTAATATTTCTTCTTTTTTCTGCTTTTCACTTCTGAGATCTGCAAACGTATCAATGATGACTCCAAAGATGAGGTTCAGGACAATAATGATAACAATGAAATAAAATAGGAGATCATAAACAACTCGAGCAGCAAAGAGTGGTTCCTGTAACAATAATGATGATCTCATGTGATGTCAAATATGCACTTAGCTTTTAAAATCCACAACTTTTTGATCAGACCTAGTTTGATAACAATAGCACATTGCGTGTAAGTCTGTGACCCATCATGGGGGTTGCTGCTATTTCCTATTCACATTATAAGACAACAGAACTATCTTGTATAGACATCAGGGCACAGAAATAAGGAGGACGTGGCATTCAGGTTTCTGTTTTCTACAGTAGAGTCATCTGCAGACTAGTATGCTTCACTTTCCCCACCTCATTTGCCAGTTGTCTGTGGAAACTCTGTTTAACTCTATTTACAGATACATAGGAGCCAAACGTAATCAGACTAATCAACTAGTATGCTTTCCCCACCTCATTTGCCAGTTGTCTGTGGAAACTCTGTTTAACTCTATTTACAGATACATAGGAGCCAAACGTAATCAGACTAATCAGGTATACAACCCAGAAAACCCAACTTTGACTATAATATTGAATTCAATTCTTCGAAAATCCCTGTTTTATGAAAGTGGGATATTGTGCTTCTGTATCCATGATTCAAAATGCAAGGAAACTGTTTGATATTGGTGCACAATGTTGGGCCACATTGCCAGCAGGAAAAGGGATGCCACATTTCACATAGCAAAGGGCAATCCAAATGTTGAAGACACCCATGTGAGGAGTCAAGATGGTGTATAGGATACACTCATGGGGCCAATCATTCTGTTTCAAGATAAGCAAGATTGGTCTTTTCAATGTACAGTATGTGATCTGATTTAAATCTGGGGACATTTAGGGTTGTCTATTTCTGAATGAGGGATATAGTTTTATGTTTTAAAAACCATAACGTGAAAACCGTTTGCCCAAACTTGCTGAAATTTGGCACAGGGTAAGAACAGACTGTTTGGTAAAGCTGCGCCAAATTCAGTGCCGATTGAAGCCCAGTTTAAAAATTATAATTTTTTTGTTTGGGCTGTCTCTGCTAGCCCAAGATCTTTGCTTCACTCTCATGCAACAGTAATGCCATTGTTATTTCTGATTGCATACTAGAGATAACAAAGTCATTATCCCCATACTGTATTTATGTTTACAGTGAGGAATTTGAATGAGGCGGGGAAGAAACCCCACTGTTATACCTGGCTTTAGGTCACATATGGCAGCAATGTATCCACCCCCACTGCCATTCTGCTATTACTCTTCATTGGAAGTTCAAGCAGGATAGGAAAGATGAAGAATTCTGCTCTGATTGTAAAATGTTGACAATACCATACGTAGATCTCTCCTCACCCTACTCTGTCCATGTTTCTCCTTGGGGTTTCAAGTGAGATGGAGCTGGGAGGAATGAGTGGGGAGAACAGAAAGGGCAACAGGAATTCCCCAGCCCATTCCCTATTTGGAATGCAATCAGGATGGGAGGGCAATCCCACCAGTGTTTCTGATCTATGACTGGAGGCCGAAACAATTTATGCTCTTCTTCTATTCACTATTAAGAATATTAGCAGAGTGTGTGTGGGGGGGAATCTCACCTTCAGGGAGGTCGGATAGCACTTCAGGCAGGAGAGGGGGCACTGGCCAGATTTTCCATGGCCAATTCTGGACACTTCATAGGCCTCCCACAGGCCCAGAATAATAGATTACACTTTGCTTTGTTCTGGTAGTGGTGTGTGTGAGAGAGATTTCACGGCTTTCCTGTTCTTTAAAAGAAGAACTCTCTTATTTTCTATATGAGCAGGATAGACACATGGATGAATTACACGTGATCTTAAGAGCTCAGTTCTAAGAGTTGCCATGACAAAACAGACAATCCCACAGAGACATGAAACAGACAAACCATACCCACTAACATAAAATGCTTACATCTTTGGAAGGTTTTCGGAGCACATCTCCAACTCCACCACCATTCCTCAGGCCTTGATTCAAGACTGTCACAATACACATTAGCAGAGTGTCACATGTCCTCTCTATCCCATCCTCATCAGCCTCTTCATCTGCGGATGTAAAGCATATATAAGACACAGGATTTGTCAAGGCAGCTCCTAAGGACAGTGCAATTATTTCCACCAATATGCTTTGTTTTAAACTAGACACTAATCTGGACGAGGAAGAGCAGCTATGCATTTTTGTGTCATCTCTTTCTCTCTAAAGCAATGGACAGCTGCTTGGTGGAAGCAGGAGGCAGGCTACAGGTGTTCAACTAACCTGATGGTACAGCTGGTATTGTGGTAGTACAGTTCTCTGTTGAACATATTCCCATTGTTGTTAAGCTAGTGGTGGGGAATGGGTCACTGTCTGGTGAAACAAAAAACATGTCGGCCAAGTATGATTCTAGTGTATCCAACACATCAAAGTTCAGGACAGATACATGCTAGCAATCGCTCCTTTTAAAACCAGGGTGGGCTTGAAAAAAAATACCAAAATTCGATGCTTTGCAAAATTCTGTAAGACCATTTTCATTAGCAACTTTATTAATTTATGCTAGTCTTGAGCTTATTCTTCATGTTTTATTTGACTAATAGCAACAATTTATATCATGTTTAATATGATTTTTTAAAAAACCCAATCATGCTACTGTGAACTCCCAAAACAAATGCTTTTCTTCTTAAAACTATTAGCTTTGAATGCCAACATTACAATACAGGAAATTAACTGAATGTTAAGCCAGCTTCAATTATTTGTTCTGCCATTGAGGAAATATACAAGACTCCAATTCACTAATTTAGTATCGAAACAAACAAATAAATAAATCAGAATACTATTTAAAGAGAAGCATAAAGCAATCATAGCAATGAAGATATCACTGCTTCACATTTACAATATATCACAGATATTTCGCCACTGCTTCTGCCCAAATTAAAGAACTGACATCAAACAGAACTCCATCTAGTTAGGATGAAATATATTCAAAGCTAGAAACAACTGTCAGATATGAAAATACCGTCAATTTTAGAAACCATTAAATTATTCACAAAGGCTGACAAGGAAGACCCTGAACTGATGTGTCGTCCTTTTGAATCTAGAATACTTAAGTTTTCAAGGATGAAAACACTGTTTGATGCTCATTTGTAAATATGTATGGAGTCGAGTAAAACACTAATTTAACATTTCCAAAGTGAGTAAACGACGAATACATCAGCTTTATTTTATCAAACACCTATTTTGCGCCATGCATCACAAATTATTTACTACATTATGTACCTATGCTGCAAATAAAGAGTTGAAGGAACCAGGTTGGCAAAATAATACTATCCAAATAACATTCCATTAACTATCCTGTATTCTGTTGCTCTTGGAGCAGTGACAGCTCTAATTAGGGTTTCACAGCACACCACGGCAGAATTGGGGGGGGGTATATTTTGGTAATAAGAGCAATACCTGCAATGGGGGTTCTGTTTTTCAGTCTTTCTACTTCCATAATGAAATCATCTTTCAAGAACAAGAACCCAACAATGGAGAAGAGATAAACAAGGATGAGAGCTAGGACAGCTGTCAGGATAATGGAGCGGCCGTTACGTGTAACACTTTTAATGACATTCAATAAGGTCTCCTCTCTGTACACCAAGTCAAACAACTGGGAGAAAATAAAACACAAAAAGTAAAGAGGTCAGTATAATGGTCTTCTTTACAGGCTTTCCCATGTAGCAATGCTTCAAGAGGTAGATGTGTTAGTCTGTTTCAACATGAATACGGTGGACCCTCAACTTACAGACAGCTCAACTTACAGACTTTTCAAGTTACAGACTTCTCTGGCCGCAAAATTTAGGTTTGACTTCCAGCTGGAGAATTGACCTACAGACCAGAAAAAAACCAAAATGGAACAAAAATGGAACAAAAACGGCTGGTTACAGGATTAATTGGTTTTCAATGCATTGTAGGTCAATGGAGACTCGACCTACAGACTTTTCAACCTGCAGCCACCGTTCCAAGACGGATTAATTCCGTAAGTAGAGGGTCCACTGTATCAGAAACAAAATCACCAAATATTGGGGATTGTTTAAGGCGAACTGATATATGTCAGTGTGGACTTACGTGGATTACAATCTGCTTCCTCCAATACATAGGCTAAAATCCTACAAGCACACAGATATGCTCCCAGAGAGTCTTGGGATCAAATGGCAGATATTTCAACTGATCATATGGGTAACATAGAGTTCTTGAGACCCCATGTTACATGTACAGAGCATGTTAGAATTCTGGCCTTCCCATTTTTCATTTTATTTAAAACAATATCTATCAAATCCTCACTGTTGCTGATGTCACTTTGCAGCACGAAGTTGAAAATGATGACACAAAGCGAAAGGATTAGAAATGAGAAGACTTGTGAAAAGAAGGATGCCCATTTCTTTCCAGCAATTTATGTCACTTTTAATCTGCAAAGTATGGTAATTCTAGGGCAAAAACCTTTTTGAAGAGTAAAGATTTCAAACTATGCATATGGGCAACAGATGCACAACTGTTAATTTGATACCCACCATGTTCATTAATATGTTATTAAAATTATGTCAGTTGCCCCAGCTGTTGTGCATGCAGCAGTCACAAATACGCACTGGTACTGTGTGCGCTTGCTACAGTTCTCATTAGATGCCCATTTATTTCCCTATAGCATGGGTCTGGGGTGGTAGGCTGAATCTCCCTCCCTACAGGCTGGAAAGGATCAGCAATATGGCCTTTCCAGCTGGTACCTTGACTGATGACCCAGCTTTAAAATTATAACACTGTGTTAAAAGAAGAACTATAAATGGACAAGAAGGAAAGAAGCCAGTTTGTGAAAAGAACTGTTTCTCAAAAGATGCATGAGAAAAGAGTTAAGGTAGTGAGCAGTTCTTTCCCATTATATGTAAAAATAACCTCGCTTTAATGTGTGCATGCTAACATCTGAAGCTTTAAGGGGGGGGGGAATCCTCAAATGGTCTGATGCTTTATAGAAGGTTTTGGAACACTTCTTGACTGCAAATGAGCATATCATACAAAGGCACTGAAAAGAGTAAGACAAAGAGGAAGCAATCTGGTGAATCCCCCCAGAAAAAACAATGAGCAAGTTTTAATCATGTAATAGCTAGGGGATATTTATAATAATCACTGATACTTGAAATGCAAAGGCAGGTAGAGCCCAAACAGACTGCTTTAGTCATGGTAACTGAAGCAGCAGCTTGGTCTGCCATAGTTACTATCTGATCCCAAGGAGCAGCCAGCAGCAAAGGGAGCAGCCAGAAAACATAAACCTTGCTTCCAGATATGATTGCTCTGGAGCTGATAACTGGTGGTAACCCATGACATTCTCTTGACTAAGCAAATACTCCAAAAGAGTGGTCCATCCCCATGGTATGCACAGAAGCCCACTGGGCTGGCATGTGATGGCATAGGACCCTCCACTGCAATGGAGTCAGAAGACCAGTTATGGGGATACAGGGCACTGTTAGGGATTTGCCACAGCCCAGATACCCCACTAGCAAAAACAGCTTCATCTTCTAATACACGAGGTCAGTTGGAAGGCTCAGGGTAAATGACTAAAGGAGCAATGGCTCTGTCACCCACAGGCATCCATCATCTACACGGTTGCATTTTCTGCTTAATGGATGTCCATCCTGTTGCCATGATTGCATGAAGGTACCATCAAATGGCAGCTATGAAATCGCCTTATGTATACTGGGAGTGCACATCAAATTAATGTGCAGCTGCATAGTGAGGGGAAAATGCATTCCTGGTGATGATCACTGTCTTTCAGAAAAAATTGCTCCTCCTTATTTTAGGCCTTGTGCCCTGAAAAGCTACACACGTGATAGTTTCTTCCCCTTTCCAGAGGTATACTCACCAAGAAGCTGTAAAAGAATTCATGCACACAGAGGCCCAGCATGCAGACAAGGACGTAAGCAACATGGTAGAGAAATGCCATGTCCATGATGACCGCCCTGTATCCACGAGTGAAAGTGCCACGATTCCCAACAAAGCTCACCAAAAAGACAATCTTGTTACAAAGCTGTACAGGGAGCAACATAGATCCAAATTATTATTGTCCAAAGACTTTAATAATCTCACCTTAGAATACCTGATAAAACAATAAAGAACACTATTTATTTATTTGTGTCAGAGCATTGCCCAATTTAAAATTATGGACATATACAAAATTTAGGAAAAATTAAAAACAAATTAAAATGTTATGGTAATTAGACTGTTTTTGAGCAGAAGCAGGCTACTTCAATAGCATTATCTCAGCCATTTGCTAGATCTCCGCTTTTGTGCATGGTGGGGCATAAATCGCATGCACATCATTTAGGGGGACATAGAAGGAGCCTCCCCAAAGAATGGAAAAGCACTGAAAGCACACCCAGGTGCCCCCTGGGCAATGGCATGCAGCCAGCCAATCCTTCATTTCCAAAAGCGTTGTACTGTAAACTTGCTGATGATAGGGATCACTTATCAACATGGTTTAAAAGGTTATCATATCATTATCTAAAGTGCAGGCACCACATACAGTCATCACCAGCTGCTATATCGAACTGCACTGGAAATAAACCGAAGCAGGATTTCTTGCCTGCTTCAAATTAGCACTCTGTCCAGAGAGCTTTGCCTCCTAATTCCAGCTGTTCAAGCTACCCTGTAGATGACAGCTGGTAAGAGGATGACATCATTTCCTGATGTCAGGAAATTGCTGACATTTCCATTGCTGATCTGAGACTAGAGGCCTTTTTAAGAAGCTGCCTAATATGGGGTCAGACTCTTAATCCATCTAGCTGTCTCCATTCTCTGCTCTGGTGAGCAGACAGAGATCTTTTCAATCACCAGCTAACTAGCTGATCCTTCTAATAAAAGATGCCAAAGGCTGGCGTGGAACCATCTGCGTGCAAAGTCGATATTCTGTCGGGGACCAACTTAAGACTGTATTGTGTCATCTCTGGGCTAAATTTCAGGGCAGCTTCAGTTTCTCAATCTTGTCTTAAATGGCCCTTTTCCCCCCAGAGATCATGACACCCCTCTTCTCCCTCTTCTGTATTCAAATGTCTAGGTAAGCTTCCCTGGGGCTGAAGTTCCTTTATATTACCAAGGCTTGAAGAGTACTAACAGATATTTCAAGAACCACAGTGCAGTTCTTTTACTGTTACTGTTACTGGTATGATAACTAAGACAGCATGATTTTAAAGGAATTAAATACCAGGTGCAAGGCATGTGTGCAACTGTGACTAGATTAAAGTGTGTGCTGCTTATATACCACCCCATAGTGCTTCAAGCTCTCTCTGGGTGGTTTATAAGTTAATTATGCAGGCTACACATTGCCCCCCCCCAGCAAGCTGGGTACTCATTTTACTGACCTCAGAAGGATAGAAGGCTGAGTCAACCCTGAGCCAGCTACCTGGGATTGAACCCCAGGTCGTGAGCACAGTTTTGGCTGCAGGACAGCGGTTTAACCACTGTGCCACGAGGCCCAGAATAGTTGGTATTTATGCTAGCAGTATGCAGTGGGTTTATGGTCAAGTCTTGAGTTTATGGCTATTAAGCAGCAGTTGCTACTTCTGGAGGACTTGTGAAAAAATGGGCTAAATGAAATTTCATAGTGTGGGTAATATATTAAGCTGGGAACATACGTGTGCTGTGTGGACCAAATGGAGGAAACACTTTTGAATACTTACATTAGCAGCACCAAGAAGGATCAAAGTAGGCCCAAGGCCAATTGTGTATATGGATCTCAGCATCACGGACACAAGAAATGGCCGAATACCCACAGGCTTGGGGAAGAAGAAAAGCAGAGACGTACAGATAGCCACTGCTATCCACAGAAGAACAGAAAATAATGGAGAAAGAGTGCCTAGAAAGGAAAAAAAAGTAGTTATATCTTTACAGTATAAGAGCTATGTTACTGGTACAGAATCAGTGTTCTGTCCAGACCAATACTCTTGTTGAACTCTACAGAGTAGAAGGGTGTGCAAACAATTGTATTTACGTCATTATAATTATAAAATTATATTTAGATAAATATAAAATGTATTGTTCTGACATGTACATCAATGGTTAGATTTTTGCATTGCTCTATCTCATTCGGATTGATAGCCATAATGTTGTTGTTAACAGAGTTAGTAAGATCACAACAAAATGACTAGATATATCCGGCTTTTTTAATGTACCGTATTTTTCGCACCATAAGACGCACTTTCCCCCCACAAAACAGGGGGGTGGAAAGTCTGTGCGTCTTATGGAGCGAAGAAGATAGATTATATTTTCCTGATTTCTTCTCCTAAAAAATTGGTGCGTCTTATGGAGCGAAAGATACGGTAGTTATTTATTTTGCCTAGCAATGAAAAGATTCACTTGTTGCTTTCCGCACATAATCCTACTATAAAAGTACTGTGAATGGACTGGGGTATTTCTTTCACCTCCCGCTGATTATGTTGCAGTCCTACAAACAGGAAAAAAAGGCTGTGCAACCCAGTGCATATTTATTTGCTAGTAAGTTCCACTCAGTGGCTGCAATCCTGTTGTGCAGTTCTGCAAAAGATGTAACTTTTAGTGGCAAAGTTTCATAAAGACATTTCCATAGGCATTATCTGTTGCATGCCAAATCATGTGACTCAGTATGCAACAGACAATGCTGATGGAGATCTCTTAACTTTCAGCAATTCATTAGTTACATCTTTTGCATAATTGCACAACAGAATTTGGACCAGCACAGCCCTGGTCACATGAGGGAAATGTTTTCTAGTTCTTCTGATATGTTCCAAACCTCTGTTGTACTGAATTGCTGTCATGTGGTTTATATCCCAGGATGAACATCTCAAGAACTTTTAGCAGTACTGATTTATTTCCTCCAGTTTGAATCACTATGTCTGGCTACACCATGGTACTGGTTCATTTTCTCTCTTGCTTCAAGGGCCAATTTAGCCCCTTGATTTATATACATATATTTAAAAAATAATATTTATCGATATATCAGAAACAAGTCTCCCTCTAAGGTACCTGAGCACGCTTGACTCCGCCTCTTCTCCACACAGCTTTTCTCCTCTCCTGTTCACCCACAACTATAGTTTCCAGCCCCTTTTGTTTGGATTGCAATAGAACCCCAGGCAGAGGGGCAGACTTTCACGTGAGGCAGGGTGTGTGTGTGAAAATTGGAGGGAACGTTGATCGGGAAGCAGTTTCTGTTTAGGAAAGTGTCCCTCTGTTGCATCGGCTGCTCCAGTAGAAATGCATTGCAGCCAATGGACTTGGGATTTCCATGCAGCGGGACTAGCAATCATCCTGCTTCCCCTGTGATATTGGCATACCAATGTTTCCCTGTATTTTCCAAAAGGGGAAAATAAATTATTACTTGCCAATGATGTAATGGTGACATGCTTTTACTGATATATCGGGCACTAAAGATTTTTTAAAAATAATATATGCACTGCAGTAATGGCGGCCACCTTCCTGGCTTCAATTCTGAAAAGAAGTGGGGCAGGTCATGCACACAGGCAATCCCGGTAAGGAATGCACCGGTACAACAAAGGTACAAAATAACTCAACCCTCCTGGATATGGAGAAATGCTACAGAGTTAGTCACGAAAATGTCTTCGTCTTGACTCTGCATTGTCTGACCAGGAAAAAAAAAACCAACATAATTGGTGGATAACTACATAACATTTCCCTCATGTGACCAGGACCTAAGTCACTTTGCTAATTATGTTCCACTGTATTCAGTGGTACTTCTAGTTAATTTTCTATTAGGAGTACATACTAATATTGTGATCCTGGACTTGTTTATATGGCCATGAATCTTTCCGTGAAAATAAAAGGATTGTATTGTGAATTTCCTTCAGAAAAAGTCTGAAAGCATTCAGCACTTTACTCTCTGCTCAACACATTCTCCCACTATTAAATCTGCCCAGCGTGGGCCCAATGATGTGTCTACCAGGCTTGAGTTTCAGAGCATGTGAACTGCACTGGGTCATGTTATATTAACAAGCACCTATTGCCAAATGGCAAATGATAAGTGATATAACTAAATATATCAACAATGTTTTCACTGATGAAACAGATAAACAACTAGTGTTCTTCGGACAGTTTCTCCTTCCCTACATAGCCCTCCTCTGCTGCCATGTACCTAAGCCCTGACAGGTCTTGTCCTGCGCTGCTCAGCTTCCCTCAGTGGTGAGGGGGGTTCACATAGGAATAATCAGTAGCCCAGAAAGAAGGAAGTATACCTTTTAAGATTTGATTCCCCATCTTATCTCCTCACATTTCTTTCCCACACCCCTGTTAACACTTCTCCTATCCATTTTTTCAAGTCTTATTCTCATACTACTGTGTTTAGAAGCAGTATGAGACTTAAGTTTGTAGTCACTGAGAAAAAGAAGAACCACAGCAACAGGGGCGAGCCTCAGATAACTCAAGCTGGGAGAGTGGAGAGGCAGAGAACCCCTAGCCTAGTCTCTCCTCCACAGCTTGTGCTAGGTTAAAAACATAAGAAAAAACAGTGCTTTAAAATGTCCTCTTTAGGACTGCAACTCCCAGTTGGCATAGCCACTCCCTCTGTGTTTCTGGGAGCTTTGGTCCAAAAACCAGTAACGTTTCCAAATTCTGAGGAAAGAATTAACTAGGATTGGTCCATCTAATCCAGGAGAAGTGGCTGGCCAGCCATTTCTGGGAGACATATGAGGAAGGTCTTAATGCAGCAGCCTTGCCCCGTTGCATTGTCCCACTGTCTCATATCTAGTATTAGGATGCCTTCTGACTTAGCAATTCCACTTTGCTTTCGCAGCTAACAGCCACTGAGATATATTCCATACCTTTGTCTGACCCCTTTTAAAAGCCAGCTCAGAATCTAGCTATATGTTGACATTCAGCGCATGCAACAAAGCCTTGCTGATCTTTTCTGTCAGTGGAAAGCTCTCTGGGAAAGGGGTGATATTCAGTGGAAAAACAGTGCTGGAGGGAGGGTGCTTAAACATCTCCTGCCCTCCAATTTTCCATTGCAGTTTCTCATCTGAAGCCTCTTTCCCTACCATGGATTTTTTTAAAACAAAAAAGTCAGATGGCTGGCAAAACCTGGTGACCTGAAACAATCCTTCTGATAACAATTATAACAGCTATTATTCTTGTTGATATGAGATATTATTTACTGACCTACCAATATGCGCTCCGCTCATTTAAATTTGGTATGTTTTAAAGAATTCTTATTGAACTGCCACTACAATGTCAATGACTTTTGGCCAGGATCCAATCATGCTCCTCCTGTCAGAGTCAGCAACACCCCGTGCAGCCCCCTTGGCTGTGGAACCTAGAAATCTGTTCCACAGGGGAAGATTTTTGAAAACTTGCTGAAGCTGGTTTTTGGCATCACAGAGGGCTATAGCAGAAAGAAGAGGGAAGGAAAAACCCAATTCCACAGGCATTGTATATGGATGTCACCATTAGATGTGGAGGTAATCTATTGGATCTTGGCCTATATGATTGTATTTACAGCCATTAGATTTATTTTCCGTGAAATGCCTTGAGCAAATATATTGTGGAAGGAGCAGCATGCAGTATCTCTCCCCCCCCACACACACACATACCTTATCTGGCACAAATGTTTGGGTTATTTACATGTTCTATTTTATTAAGTGGTAACAACAGTCCTGTAATGTAAGCCATTATTAATATCTCCATAACGCATACTGGGGCCAAGGTTGGTATGCTCCACGAAAGGCCTTGAGCAAATATATTGTGGAAGGAGCAGCATGCAGTATCTCTCCCCCCCCACACACACACATACCTTATCTGGCACAAATGTTTGGGTTATTTACATGTTCTATTTTATTAAGTGGTAACAACAGTCCTGTAATGTAAGCCATTATTAATATCTCCATAACGCATACTGGGGCCAAGGTTGGTATGCACAGTAAGCTGGTATGCCTCAGTTTTATCATTGCTCAGAAGGAGGAATGTCGTACCTTATCGTTAAAAGCCACAGAGTAGCAAAAACCGCTTTTAAATGTGCTCAGTTTAAACATTAACAGGATTAATCAAAGGACTGGTAAAGGAATAGAAACCCTTCCACCTCTAGGTCACGGGTTCGTCATCAGTCCAGTTAGTAACCAGGAGTGACTTTCACCTGATAGTTCACGTGAATCACTATTAGTGGAACGAGTCCAATTTCAAGGAGAAACATGTGCTCCTCATTAATACTTTTCCACCACCCTCAGTGATTACAAACACTCTGACTGGCAGACTGGCTTGGTGGATGATTAAAGCTCGAGAAGCTTGGAGACTGACCTATGTTTCAGCCCACATGATGGTGGGAGCAGGAGGTCTTTCCAGGTCACAGATCATGCATCATCAACAGTTGAATAGCCGGTGGCATTTCTCCCTCATGATGCCCTCCTCCTGAGTATTCCCAGACTCATGAAGAATACAGACATAACAAGCTGCTATTTTTTCTTTTTTAAAAAACTAGCCATACATTTCAACAAGTCTTGAGGCCAGTTTAATATATACAATAGAAACAAGAGAGAAAAGCATCTTTTTTTTTTCTGGATTGTACCACTTCACTCTGCAAAAGGGGAAAGTCTGAGTAATCTGAATGCCTCTCTGTAATTTAAAAATAAACTCTTTCACAGAGAAAATTGATGGATCAGATATAAGGTTACAGTTCTTCTTGATCTATTGTTTTTGGGTTTGTTTTATATGCAAAGGCTTTATCTCCATTCACACAGGCAATCCCCACCTTCTATCCAGAACAGTTCAAGTCAGAAACATTTTGAACATTTTGCACATATAAATAGGATGCATGTTCTTTTCTTTCTTTCTTTCGGTTTAGGAGACCCTTCTTTTCCTTCTCCAGCTTGCAGTCTA